CACGCAAGGGTGCCGCACGGCTTAGGCAAAACCAGCTAAGTCCGTGTCAACATGGTACACGGTATGTACCAAAGAGTCAAAGAGGACAAAGAAATAGAAGAGGAAGGAAGAAGTGAAGGCAGTGAATGAAGAGGAGGAAGAAGGAAGGAGAGGAGGCGGAAGAAAAAGAGTAAGAAGGAAGAGAAAAGAAGAGGAGGCTTAGAAAGACGAGGAAGAGGAGCATGCTTGTGGAGAGTTAGTCATGCCATAGGCAGTGGCTGACAAGGGCTCATGCCAGAGGGTTTTTTTTAATACGGACCAGATTGACCGAAATGGGTCAGGTCCACGTACAAGTTCATGCCTAGATTGGTAAATAGCGATCAATACCGAAAGGAGTTCCTTGTTTTCTATTCCTCTTCTCTCATTCTCTCCTCTCTTCTTCAATTTATTTCTTCTTCTTATCTCCTCTATACCATTTTCTCCTTTCTTTCCTCCACTCTCTTTTGATGGATACCATCCTCCTTTGAAGAAAGAAGGGCCTTGAAAACAGGGCAAAATTGTTACAGTACAAGTATTAGGTCAGTGTTCCCCAGAAACACAAGCATCCAAATCCAATGATGCTGTCTATTTCTGTGGTTTTTTATTCATCATTGAGCTGCAACACATTTTCTACCAAATTTCTCCAATCATGGAAAGATTCTTCTGCAGTTCTTCACCCACAAAGGAAAGATTCTTCTGCAGTTCTTCACACACGAAAAATTTATAATCATAATGAGATCCTTTGATGAAAACTAAAACAATTTTACTATCATTGCATGTCACGATTGCTATTGGAAGCGAAAAGAAATGTCAGTGCAAGTATTTTGTGTACATACTCTTGCAACGATTCCAAGTCTCTCTAACTTCTGGACTGCGTCTAGAACCTCGAAATTGCATTTCATTCCAAACTCTTCCTGAATGAGTTCTTCACACCGAAAATCAAGATCCTAAATACACATTTAGAAGGGAAACTGATGAAAGCTCAAATTGGTCCAACTTTGGCACTCAACAGAAAAAAATGGATGCAGAATACAAAATCTTTAAACAAACAGGACCTGAATTGTTGCCTTTCCCTGCTCCATCAAAATAAAATAAGAAATTATGACCTCCTTGACCTGAAAATATGAAGAAATTCTGTGATAAGTGAAATAGAGCAAATTCAACAGAAAATTTTGATGATTCCTGCATGGATGATAGATAACTCTTTATGATAACTTACTTCCTGTTGGATTACATCATCACATAAGTGCAAAAGTGTGCCTCTCCCACTATCCAATTGTTTGTCATACATTGACTGTGTGATAAGATTCCGGTAAGTTTCCATGTTTTGTTGAAATCTGCAGTGTAACATTTAAACGTTAGCATAACAGCACTAAAAAATACATGAACTCAATAATTAATGAACTTAAAATCAACTTTTTGAATCGTCATCATTAAATCCAAGGGAAGGTATTAACACACCGAAAGCATACATGAAAACTAGATTAATTTGACATCAAAGGAGTGATATATCTGCGAAGATGACTACAACTTTGAGAATTTGAGAGAAATGATTAAGTGTTACATGCAATAGGTTTAGATAAAGTTAAATAAAGCATGTGATTCCAGTTGCGGAAGCACAAAAATAATCAAGGTCACAAATTATGATATTATGAACAAGAAAATAATTAGAGCTCGACATATTATAAGTTTAATTAAAAAGCCACGAGAAGGTCATCCTTTTTTTATTTCATTTACTATGCTAGCTATATCATATAATCTTTCAAACTTCTTTCTGTCCATTACTGATCAATATCATCAGTAGATAAGCTGAAATAAAAAAAAAAAGAAACGAGGATGGATAAAATAAAAAAATTGAGATAACTATATACACCAAAGAATTAATAATTTTGGCTTTCATGTTTTACAATTTGAGGGGACAAGCCATGGTATAATGGTAAGATTGCTCCTTTGTGACATGAAGATCAAGGTTCTAGTTACGAAATTCGTTGACCCTCCTTAGTCCCCATATTGATGGGAACCTCATGCACCAAATATACCCACTTTTTATATTTTACAATTTGACACTATCAAGTGAATGGGTCATGTTTTCCATCAGACCTGATAATCACAATTCATATCAAAATTGACATAAAACAACAGTCAGAGATAACTAGAAAAGGGTACTGCAGATGAAAATGAAAGCACATAATAACATAAGGCCATCATTGTAGATGGAAATGAAACCACATAATAATCTAAAGTCATCATTGGGTTGGAGTTGGACCTCACATGATTCGTACTATGACATGATCATGAGCAATGTGTAGGACATATTGTGATACCTCAATTTAATGCCACATCAACTTTGGAGGATGCATGTGAATATATTATGGGGTACTATCATTAGTCTGAGCTTATCATATGATTTCAGGCCTATCAATCTAATGGAACATTTCTCTCATGGAGTTGGAGTCATGAAATTCATTGCAACCTAGTGTCAAGTGCTGCTTGGGACTGTAGCTTGTTCGGTGAATCCTCCCTGCTGGTCAAATCTACCATGGTGGATATAAGACTTGAAGGAAATTGGTATGATTTAATGGCCCAGAATGCTTTCTTCATAACAGAAAGATGCAACAAAAACATGCTCTACTAACAATGCAAAAATAACAAGAAAAATCATAAAACCTCATTAATAAACAAAAGGAGAAATTTGTTGAAGAATTGCAAAGGACGAAGCAATCAAGATGATATTCTGTTCTATTTACTTGAACCAGGTCTTACTCAAACCAACATAAGTAGAAATGACTTTGCACAAATTTCTATTTACTTGAAGGTCTTAGTATATAAGTATTAATGACCTCACACAAGAAAACTATTTGAGAAGTTTCAAGAAGTGCTTACGAAAAATAGACCTTAGCGCAATAGCCAACAACACCAGAAAGGATAGCTATAACAACCCATATATCTGCTTTAGGCAATTCAAGTGAACTAACAAGAGTAACCTGCAAAGAAATTCAAGCTACAAGGATGAGATAGAAAAACACCAAATGAATTTAATTGATTTAGTTTAGACTTACAAGCCCAATTATGACAGAAACAAGAAACTTGACCCAGTCCATAGGAGTTAAACTTGGATTTTTCTTTTCAGGCTACAAATTCATACATTATATATCAAGTATCAGATCAAAAGGAAAATCTACTGGAAAGAACAAAATAATATCCATTTTTCCTTGTTTCAGAAGTTAAATATATGCTGACCAATACTAACTCCATATCAGCCATAGGGATATTTTTGAAGTGCTTAACAAATATTCCTCGGTCAATCTTGTTCTTGGTGCCAGCCCCCCTGTATATTTATCAACTATAGATACATCAGTAAGGGGTTAAACATCTAGTGTGCAAACAAGTTAAGTTTGATAACTTCTTGAAAATTTTCACTTTCACAGACATTCAGTATCATAATTTTACAATTAAGTACTTGAGAATTTACTGAAAGATCAAGTCTCAAACTTGTAAATAAAAATTCTAACATACCTATAAACAACAATCATCCTATCAAAAGTAGGCTCCTGTATCATAATCTTGCCAAACAATTTTCGCATGCTTTATGAACCAACGAGGGAAGCAAAAGAGGAAAGGTAAGAAAATCAGTCTTCAAAACATGACGTGAAGAAAAAAAGAAATTCAGACAAAACTTACAACCTCAATTCCATGTTTTCAATCCGGATACGTTCAACATATAGATCTTCTTCTTCTGTTTCAGGATTAAGTTCATCTGTTTTTTTGGGATCACTCTTTGGTTTTCTGCTTTGTCTTCTGGAAAATAGCATTTGTAGCCTGCACATATTATCAACAGTAGCTAGTTTTACTAATTAGATAAGAGAAGTATGAAAATACAATAATAATTAAATACCTCGTCTTCTTGAGGAACCACAGCCATAGCCGAGAAATGATCATATCCAGTTTCTCCATTATAAAGTAATCTGTTGTTTGATCTATTCCAATGCCCCGACGAAAAATGACATACTTGTAAAATTGTAACCATGTCAGAATGCGATGAAAAAAGGCATAAACAACTGTTACAACAGATACTAGTTCACCTCAATTATAAAAGAAGATTCCATGATACGTCTAAAATAAGAGTCCATATATGTTGAGAACAAAAGACTACAAGGAGATATTTAAAGCATACTCTTCTCGACTTACAAGGCAAATTATTAATCTTGTTGGATACATAAGCACAATTGGATATAATACGTAAGTTGGACAAACTCTCTTGGTTTTCCGCTTTAAGTACCGATTGACATGGAACACTTTTGTTCCCAAGACTTCTTGTTAAGTCACCTTATGTTTCCAATCTTTCTAGACATTGAAATTTAAGTATCATAAATTATCCAAAAAGATTGTTTTCTTTTGTGTCCCTACATCTCATTTTGCCTCCTTGCCACATTAAACAAGACACGCCTTGCTTGAATCTATCTCTAATGCTTTATATTCCAAACATCAACTCATTTTTAAGAACGACTAATTTAGCCAAAGAGCCTAATATAGTTTGATTTCATTTGGTTCAGCAGTTTGAATTAGAGAGTGAGATACCTTAAACTATAGCCATTATTCTTTATTTTTCCTCTACTTTTCCTTTTATGGATAGCTTGAGAATTTCTACAAATTTACAGCTTTCACTTGTCTTGTTACTCCTCCCCACTTTTCTCTCTATTGTTTACTTTTTTGGTACAAACGATTGATCAAAGAAGCTATTATACTACACACACAAGCCCAATCCACCAGCATGAGGTTAGCAACATATAAACGCCTAACCTAACTGGGAAAAGCCTAAGGCTAAACAAAAACCAAGAAACACATTTGATCTAAACCATAACTTGATACCCGTAAAGTCAAGAAATTACCTTCTGTTGTTAACTTTGTTATCTGGTCAATATCAAATTGAAAAGCATCTTCCGTTCTTGTCCAGTCTCAAAAGTTCGATACATCAAAAAATACAAGTTTTCAATTTACAAGAACCTTAATATTGAGCATCACCGTTCAATATTCTCTATTACATTATCAAAATATTGCTTCAATACTGTGTTTAACCATTCTGCGATGTGTATTATAGATTTATAGGTCATTTCAGATATTACTTCAATACTGTGTTGCATTATCAAAATATTTCCGCTCTAGTCCATTTGCAATATAGGATTCCAGGATATGTAGATTTTACTCTATACATCCAAATTCTGATCATCTCATCATCCTACTATACCACATTACTATTAGCTGGTTGACAAATATGGTATGTCCACATGGACCCATATAAATGCTTGCAGACACATAGAGGAAAGGGAAAGAGCAGAAAGTGGATAACAGGAAAGAAAAGAGACGAAAGGAATATCTTCTTCTTTTTCCTTTATGTGAAAGAAGTAGGAACTATGACAACTTACTCTACTTTTGCCACTTCCTATTCTATTACAATACAGCCTGACTACAGACCATCTCCCATTAGGCCAGAGCACAGCCAGAGCCTATTTGGTCCACACAAAAATGAATTGGTTCAATATGGCTCCTCAATCTAGAAGACCTCAATACACAAGAACCTGGTTCGGCATGGCACAAAGCTGGTCCAACTTGGTAAAGCTATTTTATTAAATATTCAATCTATTTTTTTTCCAAAATTTTCATTTCATTATCTATCTTATTTGAGTACAAACATATAATATTCAATGTCTTCTCCCAACAAAAATTTTACTAATAAATTTCTATCACCAACTCCTTTTACCTTTATGACATATTTCTCAAAATCCATATTTATTGTAGAACTTAACCCATTTCTATATTCTCCTTTCTGTTTGTATTAAAGTTTATATCCAGTGCTGTCAAAGTATCAATTTCCTTAAATTTTCATCCACTCAACTAGTTTCTCATGAACAGGGTTTCAGATACCAACTAGGTCGATACATATCAATCACTATTTTTATTCAATGATATCGAGCGATATGTATTGGTATACCGCTCCATATACTACAATCATACTAGTATAATTAGTTACTGAAATCGGTATCGGAACCATATGTATTAAAAATTATGACATTAAATCTCCTTCTAATCATCATACTCACTAATGCTAATTTCTTTCCATAGTGCTATTATACTTCACACAGCTAATCTCATCCTATTATCTTGAAAGTGCAAGACCCCTGTCTTATTTTTGTACCAAATTCCTTCACCAATATAATTTGTTGCATATGAGAATATTTCTAGCCAATCCCCTTTGCTATTTTCGGTATGTGAGTGGTATTTACGATAGGAAGGGTCCTACTAAGTAGTTAAAAATTGGAGGAGCAAAAATAGCTCTTCATTTCTTTCATAAACATGTATCTATATGAACAGAACCAAACAATTAATCATACAATGTCATGAAATACCAAAGCCACACCATTATTACAAAGACTGTAATACAAATCCTAAGAGCATCAAGTTGTTGATGCGAAAAGCAAACAAAATTGAGAACAACCAGTTGAATTGTGCAACTGTACATAGTTTTTGATCCCAAAAAAAGACTACTACTTATTACCTTATCTGAAAATTCTGGAAGGTTGTCATGAGGATGCTCTTTAAAATACTTTGACAAAAGCCTTTTGTCAAGCTACATTCAAAAAAATTGTGAAATAAGTTGGTGATCAAAACTGCAATCACAAAGAACGTTGTATACGCAAACAAAATTACACTTCTTTTTCTGAAGTACATATGCACTGACCTTGGATTCATCGACTTTGATTGGAAGGTTCAATAAGTACTGCCCATGGTGTGCAACATCAATCTCTTCATCAGTCACTATTTTAAAGTTGCTCTTTTCCATTACCTGCATTGCAATGAAAGGAAGGTAAACAGATTGTCTTGAAATCATGGAGAACCAAAGGTTATCACTATCCAGAAAGCCTGATATGACATTTGAATTATAAATGAATTCAGTACTATTTATGTAATTGTTCAAAGTCTACCATAGTGAATGACATCCACTTCATGGAATCAATTCTCTATTTCTTGTATGCCAAAAAAACTCATTTTTTTATTTGAAATCACAGAGGAACGAGGAGAAAGAATATAAGTTTTCATGTCAAATCAGTAACAAATCACATGTCCTATTCACATATCCAAGAGATTTGTGCACAATTTTTTTTGTGAGCTGTGACAGAACTCATTACAAAATATCGAGCGATAAGCTCATGCTATGTTATTCTCAAGTTGGAAGAGTCCACACAACCACCACGGAAAGCAATAGCTGAGAGAAAACAAACACCTTATAGCATCTCTAATACACTTCTAAATCAGCATGAAGTATCTAAAACATTGTAGTTCAATGTTTATCCAACCCCTTTTTAGCATATGTTAGTGCTGATTTAGCACATCGAAATGTTGAAGACTCGAATGCTCAAAAATGCCATAATTGTATAATACAGCATGGTGGATTTGATCTGATATATATGTACCTAGATGTGATAAACATATTCATGAAAATAGTGCACATTGTAATATACAACAGCAGTAGTTAAAACTCAAGGTATGACCACAGAGATCCTATGAAAGATTCAATGCTAACTCACCTGAAAAAAATAGGTCAAGAAATTTTGTTCAAGAACATCAATCTCTTCAGGAGACAAGTTCTGCTGCTCCAATCTTTTAACACTATGAACAGGATCAAATAGAGAATACAATTGCTGAAAAAAAAAATCATTTTGAATCAAAACGAACATACTTCATCCAACAATAAGAAACTTCAGTTATCATCATGCATACACATACAATTTTCCAGTTCATGACTATGACACAATAAAGAAAATTGCAAATTCATACCATTAGATCTTCAAATTGGAGAAGGTACCATGCTCTAATAGTATACTCAACCCTCTTACAGAGCTTCAAAAACTCAGTCCTGTCAGAATTTTGCTCTGCAAGAGAATAAGGAAACATGTAAAGGTAGTTAAGCCCACAGTAGGCATGAAGTAAATAAATAATATCGTTAGACTATGACATGCTGAGGTATGTACAGATTTATAAACCATGTCTTCACTTGTTTTGTCACATGTAGAATAAAACAGTAGAAGAAAAGTGAACTTAGCTGTACATCAACAAGAATCGGACAATAATTTAAGATAGAAAGCTTACACAATTTTGGCAAGTTTCTGAACTCAAGGTAAACACAGTTTTGGCAAGTTTCTGAACTTTAGTGTGACTTAGTTTATCTAATTAGGATTTTGTTCCTTTATTTTGACAAACCAATTTGGATGAAATATAATGATGACTTGGTGGTAATTTTGGCACATAAGACATGTTTGAAGAAGTTTGTCAATTCCTATTCAAACTTTAAAGGTAATATAACTTGGATTTATTCTATGTCTATTCTAGCTCTGACCATTATGCACACCACAGGATTATTATTTGTTGTCTTAGAAGCTTCGACATAGGAGATATTATGAGGTGGCTTATGTAAGCTATTAACTCTAGATATAAAAGATAAACTCCTATCTGTAAACCCTTAGTTCCAAGATAGAATACCTCTTAAAGTTGAGAGCAATTATAGAGAGAGCAACTTTCTCCTCTTCAAGGTATTGAAACATGGGACCTCCAACACATGGTAATAAATAAATGTTGGTCAAGTTAGAGGGAGAAATGTGTTGGAAAGCAGAACTCAAAAAGAGAATCTTTAATAATTTCTGATTAAACAAAATAGAATACATTCTTTAGTTTATGGATCATTATGAAACATGGATAGTTTATTTGTTGTATTTCTATCAGATATATCTCAAATAGAATACTTCTCAAACACATCCATTTTCTTAAATAGTTACTAAAATTTTGGATAGTCTTAGAATACTTGGGTAAACTTTGACAACAAAAATCTGTGTTTTCCTTTAATATTTTTAATCTATCACTTCAAATCATTCATATGTTGTATGAATGACAAGCCTCAACACCATCATTGCTCCTGTGAGCTAGTTCTCTATGTTCAAGTTCTGGTGTCGAACCCTTTGCTTGCAAGGATAAGGTTACATACATTGATCCTCCCACCTCCCAGATCCTGCAACAGTGAGAATCTTATGCATTGAGCTACACTTTTTTATATTAAGAATCGTATTGTTATTGTTGAAATTTAAAAAATTGGCATACATAATGTAGTTCTTGCTATTCTTTCTGTATTCTTAGAGTAAATGTGACTAGAATAATTTCTTTCACCATGAGTTAGTTACGGATGCTGGTTAATTACTTGTTATGATTTATAATAATATTTAACTATATAGTCTAACACTATAAATTCATGTCAAGTTTTTTCATATATGATATTGGACACTTATTTTTTATTTTTTCATATCCTTGGGCTATAATATCCTATGATCTCAAAGATTTGGACATATTAGTGTATTCTTATCATGTTGCATCAGTATTCCAATTCAACAGGCATAATAAGGTGAATTTGTTGCTTTTCATCATTATTTCCATCAAATATAACTCCACCTTGAATCTAGTACTTCACACCAGATCGATAAATAACATGTTTTTACACTCAAAGAAGCAAGTTAATTCAGCTTCTTAATATGAGGACTCAAGACTAATGTTTCAGCACATACTGTTAGTTCCATTAAATTACATAAATATTATACTTAAATATGTTTGTATGGCTCATATGCCAGCATGCATGTTAAAATCATATATAGGGTATGTTCTAACACTTGTATAACAACTTTAGGAAATGGAAGTAAAAAGTTTTAAGAGTTTAGTTGGTTGATCATGCTCATGTGGCCCAGTAACTATTTAACACCACTATACAGTTTTCAGTTTCCTAGAACCCCATGGAGATTGATTGAAAATCACTATATATCTAAACATGCCTTTCACAATGGTAGAGTTGAACCAGTTATCATCATGGACAACCGAATGCAGTAAAAATAACCTAAATCATGTTGCCATAATTTGAGAAAGGTCAACCTACACATTCTAAGTTCCATATTACAAGGAGATGAGGAAAAATTATAAAAGGTGTGGTTGATTAAAATGATTCATAATATTGACAAACATACGTAAGAAAATTCCAGAGCAGAACAGAAACACCAAAGGTACTAGGAATGAAGCTTCCGTTTAAATTTTCAGCAAATTTATTAGAAAACTCAAAAAGCTGCAGCACTGGTCAAACTCATGTGGTTTCTGGTCAATTTCATGATGAGGCACAGGGCGCTTCAAATCTGTGTCAACCGAACCGCATCAGTTTCAGCAAAGCGACGAATGTTAAAAATCGATGAGAACTAGTTAGGTTAATTGTTCCAATGATCCTTAGAAGAGATCGGATGCATTCATTGACCAATAAAGACAAGGGATTTTCAGCTGCAGACGAGGTAAAGGGCAAAAAAAGTAGGAAGGCGTTAATAGCTATCGCAGACATGCTACCAAAGCAACAACTCCTATAGATCTTTATTGTTCCTATTCTGGTGCATGCCATCCATCTATTATCAAAATCATACACTGATGTGTTTGTTCCTATCCCATCTATGATCATTTCAGGGTAATGGAACTCTCTCATCAAGCAGTTATGCATTTTGTCGCAAGATACAGACATATCATATCAATCATCAAATCAAAACAATTACTGCAAACAATACAAGCTCCAATAACTCAAACGACACCGAAGAAAAGGAGCGGAAGTATAAAAAGGCCAAAGATTGTTAAGGATGAGAGGCCAATGGGGGCACCAATGAGATCTGCGAGCTTCATGACGAGCTTGGGCTTGAGGATGGGAATGACGGACTCGCGCTCCAGCCGGATCACGTCATTGTTGCTGCTCCGCCTGCGTTCCTCCGTGCCTCCTCCTCCTCTTCCTTCCATTTGGGCAAGAGAGCTCGATGGAACAGCGAGAATTGAGTTCAAACGCTAGCGTTTCGGCATTTGGGGATCCGCCGAAGAGAACACGATCTGTCGGATGTTAATGGCAGTGGTAACGGTGGGAGAGTTAACGCACCGACGACGAAGGTAACGGAACTGCTGGGGGTTGCCATTTAGGTCAGTCTTGCATTCGAGCCAGCGACTCACGTGATCCGTCCGCGGTGACATTGGATCCGAACACAGGTAACGTTGCCGTTAACAGTTGTTAAAAAAATTATTTATTAAAAAAATATAAAAATATCTATAATATAATAAATATTTTATTTTAAAAAAATCTTTACTATTTATCGGATTAATTATATATTACCCTCAATAATTAACTATCCTTAGCATCTCAGACTCTACACTTTCAAAAATTACGTTAGAATTCTTATATTTACGAAAATAAAATAGTTAATCATTTTTTTCTCACGTTATCGATTTTACTAACAGAAATACCATACATATTTTATTTTTATAAATTAAAAGTGAGATAGAGTCAACACCTGCTCGGTGATAAACTTTGTAATATTTTCATCAATAAAATTGATAACATAAGCAAAAACAAAGTTAAATATTTTATTTTTATAAACATAGAAATCCGATCTTGAAAGTAAGAAATGAGATATTAAATAAAGATAATTAGGACAATCCATAGTTAGTCCACTTTTATCCCATAACCTCCTAATGGATTTTTACTTGATATACCATTTTTTTATTAATGTGAGTCATCCTAATCGTTCATAGTCTCTGCCTCTACTCATAAAAGAGTTTTTGAAGAGATGTAATTTTAATTAGAATTAATTACAAGGAAATATACATAAAAGTTCTTTTTAAAATATTTATATAAATATTGAACTAAAATTTAAGAAAATAAATATAAAAATAACTAACTATATATATATATGTGTGTAATTTACTTTCCGGAATATTCTGAATATCTTAATCGTTAAATAGGGGACATTAGTGTAATGAAGATTAATATGATTTGACAACAACAAAAAAAATATATCAGTTTAAGTCATGCAAAATATGCAACAAGTTGTTTTATATTGCTTGTGCAATGAACATTAATAAACGTGTTGGTTTTTCTTTTTTTATTGTGCTGATCTCATTTTTATTCTCTTCCATTTGTGTTTATCTTAATATTTAAGTAGTGTGTGGTGTGAGATTACAGGTTCTAATAATTTTCTTTTGCTATATTGCATTGTGTGTGTACAAGACCTCCCTGATTGGAATTTATGACCTATTAACTGTGCAGTAGTAATAACTCCAAAAATATGTACACCGGTAATGGATGCAAACAGCAAGCAAATGAACAGTTAATAATGTTGCTACTAAGCACAATGGTGTCAATGATCTAATAATAAAAGTTATTATTGTTATATAGCAAGTAACAATATGCAAATATTATAGTCAAATCTTGGCCACCTGCAGCTCATTCATGGTTTCATTTTCAAGCTACATTAGCAACTTAAGTTTGGGGTTTCCTATCACCTTCAGAATGACACAATTTAGACCCCTAATTTCTTAGAAAGTTCATGAATACAATAAGATAAAGAAAAAGATGTATCCGGAAGTTCAAACCAATACAAGCCTAACCTTATTTCTAAACATTCAAGAACAAGAGCAATATAATAGTATTACATCATATTAATCAGCAATTTCATGAATTGAAGGAATTGAATACATTAAGGGATGCATACACATCTTGAAGCCTTATAATCCTAGGAATCAAGCAAATCTACATAGAAGTTCCTAGAATAGCTTTTCAAATGAAAATATTCAACTTTTGTGGGATTTAGATTCAGTTAACACCATTTAAGATCATATACATGGGGTCCATGAAACAATGTTTGAAAAAAGTAATACTCATCCTCAGACTGACTTACAGAGGATCAATTGGATGAGTTTTGCCTGCAAGAGCATATGGCTAAAACTCAGTTTCATTTTCTGAATTATGACGATGTACAAAGACAACAACAAGGTTCTTAACCTGCAGAGTGTTGTAAGGAGCAGCAGCACAATCAATTCCCAGGAAGAACTCTGCATGAGTGCTATGCAAAAAAGAATAGACAAGGATCAAAACTAAGTGAGAGGCAAAAAATTCCCAAAGTCTACTACCAATATATTTTACTCAACTCATACTTGGATGAATATGGAAGTACAAAAACTAAGAACATCAAGCCAGATTGCTAGAGTGAAACTGCAAGAAACAGAGGTTCTTCACACTATTTCAAATTTATTATTTCATAGCAACACTTCTAGAACTTAGAATCCTTCATTTAAAGCTTCATCATTGCAACTGCAATTTTTTTCCTCTGAATAGAATCATGTGTAATGACTAAAACCATTCCTTCATAACCTATTGCGCCATCAGTAGACCAGAAGGTATGCATAAGAAATCCAATAGGAGACAAAGGCCATGTACCTTCTCATAGCTTTGCAATCATTTGACTCATCAGGCAAATGCAATGATCTTTACTTGTGCAACATAAACACTGCAGCTGATGTACTCTCGATGGTGTTCGATGGGATGGTGATTGCTTCCCATTATGACTTGTTGGTAGTAAAGCTACAATTCTTTGGCTATGACTTCCACTATAGAGAAACCTTGGAGGTTAAATGTCAGCCAAAATCACATGAACCTTGCCCTCCACCCGTGGAATTAGTTCCTTGATCACATGAACTAAGAAACATAATCAACAAGTTAAACCTTCCCATCGGTCGATGCATAGTATTTTCAGCAGTTACAGCATCTGGGCACCCTAAAGAAACATGACCGTTAGCAACAGGGGCTTTAAATTCATGGCAAAAACAAGCAAATAGTATGAGAAAGGTTCATATCAGCATACAAAGATCAGTACCTTTTCTTCCACTGCAATTACACCACTTTCTTTTCCCATTTTGCGGTATTTAGCACCTGCTTATCAGTTTGCTTGCCTTAGTTGTATCTAAAGTATCTCTTCAAAGAGAAATGTTGTATCTGAACTTCTGAAGTATATATAATGCAGTAATATTTCCAATCATAAGATTACATCCCACACAAAAACATAGTTCACCAGTAAATTAAATCTGTTCCAATGAACTTCAAATGTTTAAACCAATGATAACTGAGCAGAATTAGAAAAATTGCAGAGGCTTACTAAATCTGATGCCGGAAGTAACATCCACATAACCAACAATACAATCTGATAAGAATAAGAAACAAAACATCATGAAACTGGCACAATTCCGTATTGTTACAATTTACAAACTAAGAAAAAAAAATCTTGAAACTGGCAAATATTGTAGGAACAGATTCCAAGCCCGGTGATATAAGGTGCAGACCCTCATGTAACAAACAAAAGATCCTTCAACTAAAATTACTAGTACTAAAAAAAGTCATAGCCAAGCCCCAACAACTATAAGACACCATTACTACAGCTCAGATAAGTTTATAGATGCAGTCAACAGAAAAGACATGAAAGAAGTATGGGAAATCCAATATCACCTTCAACCCTCTCTATTATGAGACTCTGCCCCAGCTCCTGGCCATTAGTTTCAGAAAGTAACAAGCAAATAATGAGAGTGGCAAAGACCCAGATCCCCTTTTCCATCAAGGGACAGAGGCAGATGGGTGTAAGAGAATAAGATCAAAAGAAAAGAATGGATGGTGGACCTCTTACTCTAAACAGGAGAGAGATTCATGAGAGGGTAGCAGATGGCCTGTTCAACCAAGAGGTTGCTTTCAAGGAAAAGACAGTGAAGATGCTTAGTAGAGGGCAAGCCCTTTTTCTGTGCCTGGGAGGTCAAACCCAAGGGGATGGTAGGCAATCTGTGGGCGGTGTGTTTCATCCAAACCCCTCCTCTTCCCCTCTCCCCACTTCCCCCTTTCCTCCATCACATACACTTGCTGCATATTCTTCTTCTAATGTGGTCCAATAAGTTCTAATCTCCATAAGGCTGCAGTCATCATAATCATTGATAAAAAGATAATTAGAGAAAATCATAATTGTAGCACAAGGATGCATGATTCTACGGCATCAAAAAATATCATAAAAAGATTCCCAACAAATATCACCAAAAAATGTTACTTAAAACACATTAAAATATCAAAGAAAAATAATATTGATGCTCAAGGCTCGAGATCAAGAACAACCCTCACTCAAACTCTGCCATACCAATCGAGGACTCGTCCGAAGCCCTAGCAGCGCAAACTTACGAATTATAATAATTAGTGGAGCATTTTATTAGCCTAGATGGAGATATAAAAAACATAAAAATAAGAAGGAACTCATGAACAAAATACATCTGATGAATCTAATAATTCGAATAATTGGACTGACAATTAACACAAACAAACTTTGAAGTTATCAATTAAGGTCAATTAGGTCAGGGTTTTATTCGGGCAGTGAAATTACAGGTTCATGAAACAGGGATGTAAGTACGACAGAATTATATCGATTTGCATTGAGATTGAGTGAACCGATTCGAGCGCATCCCTCCTTCCCTACCTCGTCTTCCTCCGCTCTTCCCTTGTAATCTCTTCTCTTCCGCATCTTCCGTCTCTTTTTCTTTTTCCTCCTCTCCTCTTTGCCTCTTCCATTTCCTCCGCCATCACCTTCTCCCTATAAGAACGAGAGACGACGGCGGGCGACAGAGGCGTGCATTCGCAATGGAGAGTAGAGAAGAAAGAAGTGGTACGGATCGGATCGGATCGGATCGATCCGACCCGATTCGGTTATTTTTGGGACCCACATTCCAACCCACCGACGCAAGCACATACTTGTCCATTAATTAATTAATTAATTAACTATATGAATTATCTAATAATATTTATAGAGGATTTTCAACAATAAAAAAAAGGACCATACATTATTTCATAGAACCCACACGGTTTTCGTGTTTCTTCCCCACCAACAAGCCACATAAAATGAAGACATTACAGGATCTGCAATTACTGAAAGAAGAGAGTGATAAGTTATATTTTGGACTCTGGCTACCTCATTGCTCATCGCTAACGCCACGCCACGCCACCATCGGGTCAATAAGCAGAGTATTCCCACGTGTCAAGCCAGGATCCGTATCGAAGCATTCCTCGGTACGTCTCATCTCAGAAAGCTTGGGACGGCGCTGCATGACACTGTTTCGTTTCGTACGTCCCGGGTCGACGTCACGCTAAGGTACATCCTCACCCCTCGAGGACCGGCCGCTACGTTAAAATCTGCATACGACCAACCCTCGAACAGTAATATAAAAATCCTTGATCGGCATTTGGCCACGGGGACGGAAAAAGAGAGAGAGAACCTCACACTGACTTATTTGTCAAGGGGTCACAGTCGATAACGACTTGGCGAGGGCCTTATGTGCATGAAAGCGATCATCTCCGAGGTGTGAACATCCCGATCGAGAGACGCTAATCCACATTACGACGGCACCCACATCCGGAGGACACGATCGACCTCGTCGAAGACTCCTAACATTGACCAGTGAATCAGACCATAATGACTTATCAACCACGACGTAAAAGTAGAACTACCACAGCAACATGCACTCGTAAGTCCAAGCAACTCACCATGGGAGACAGGGAGTACCGATTGACAAGCCATCCATGTGCGTCTTCTTCCACGTTATAAACCCTTTTCTCGGCCAAAGAACGGTGGCCATGCCCCTCCCATGGAAGATTCTGCCGAGACAAAAGAGACGGAAGCACATGCTGACCTGTGTCCCACACCGCTTCGACTCTTCCAGACAGTAAGTAAGCAGGATGCAAAAGTCAAAATAAACCAGCATTGTAGTCAAAGAAAGCGTCCGGGGATAAGCTCTTGCTGCTTGAGATGAACTACATGTCTAATGAACAGTGGTGGATGATATTATACATAGAAGTTGCTACGGATGGGGTCGACGTGATCTTATCCGTGGGCCGAGAGAATCTTAAGATGAATGATGACTGTTGTTGGTGGTGCAGCTGTTGTTGCCGGGGAAAAGAATGCTTGCCGCTGGCTCTGGAGAAAAGTAATGCCGTGTGATTCAAAGACTAACCCAACGTGGTTACTTGAGCCAGCAGCAGCGGTTCAGAAAGGAGGAGCACATTGGCGAGATGACCCACCATTTGGAAGAATCGAAGAGGAGGTGACTTTTGAGTGCGGTCATGGGCATCTTCCTTCTGGAAGTGACGCGGATGGAATTGATGCGAGTCGATTTAATAAAGAGAGGAGGATAAGGTGGAAGAGCGAGGTCGTAGTTCCACCATCGGAGCACAGAGCTGTGAGTGCTGCGCCTGAGGTGCACGGCATCGCCATCATGAAGTTCTTGTTCCAGTGCCCGTGCTGCTCCTGCTTCTGCTTCATGAAGACGAAGAAGAGCAGCAAGCCCAAGAAGAAGGAAGCCAAGGGAGACTGACAGAGAGAGGCGTGGATCCACGGACGCCAATCTCTGAATCGTACGTGTCTGATCTAATAAGTGCCGCAGTGCGTGTTTGTAATCTCTTCCTCTCAGTTTTGATGCAGCAAAGCTGTCAGTAACCAGCTTTTGCCTCTCTCTCTCTCTCTCTCTCTCTCTGTGTTTGTGTTTGTAGTATCCCTCTCTCTCTCTCTCTTTTGCTGTTTCACTGACACCAATCAGTGCTGGAAAGCTGCAGAAATGTGATCTAAACTATGAATTAAAATCCAGCACAAATAATAAGAGAAATGGTGGCAATAAAGCTTGTGGTGCACCAGAAAGTAGACAACATATTCCTAAAGCATGTAGACAAGTAGTACTTCTCTACCCATGCCATTTGAAGTCAAGGCTTATTAATTATATTTATCTCATGGATAATTTTGTAGAAAAATATGTGCCTAATAATTCTGTATATTGTCTAATTACTTTCTGATGATTTATCTCATGTTTTAGGGCGAATTCAGTGCCACATTAATTTGATAATAAATTATTTATTTATGATTTTTCTAAGATAATATTATTTCATCATAATACATAAGATAACATGACATTTTCATGTATATATGTGTGTGGTAATGAGAAGGATCGATGTACTTACCTTTATCCTATAAACATAATGGCATGTCTCCTCACATGATATTGATCTATAACTTTTATGTTTCCTTTTTTGGCTGCTGCATAGCATACATAGCATGTTACCTTTATGACGAATGTAATAATACTCTTCATGGATGCGTGCTGTAACACTACCATACAAGAAGATGCAGGAACCATATGGTCATGACATATCATAGGTCATGATATGCACATGCATTGCATAAGTGTTGTGACATCACATCAGATGAGGGACTTTGTCTGACATTTTAATTGGATGGAGTTCCTTTTGCAAAAGCTACTTTGTATACAACAAATAGAGAGAGAAAAATTATCATATTAGTTTAAATATGATAATTGATACAGAAATTGATTTCTTCATCTTACAAAATTTCTCTAAAAAAGCTATTTAAAGCTGAAAATTACTATTCCCAATAAGAAAAATAACTTAAGTAGTATACATATGATAAACCAAAAAGTACATGAATGTTGCTAGTAAACATTCCTAGTTTGATGCTCCTAAGATAATTTGGCCTCAATTACAATAGAACTAAGTTTCAAATGCTACTCAAAAATAGCAAAATTGTTGAAACTCCATTAGAGTTGGGACTAATTCCATCTCCTCTCAAATATAAAATCCCATGCAGCCCAATTAGTATTCGGATTATCCTTGTTTTTTCTTTACGAAAGATAAATGATGAAGATAGGATTCGAACCCAAAATTTTATACTAATCAGCCCATCATAGGAGTTGGACAAGAATTGATGTTTATTGTTCTTTACATAAATATCAGAGCCAAAAACAATTAATTTTCAATTTACACAGAAATATTTATAATGTAATTTTAGTATATAGTGTTGGTGGCAAAAGTAACAATTATTTTTGTCGAATAATGATGATTAGTTGTATATTAACTCCAACTTTCCACAAATTGCTTTGAGAATCGCACTCCTCTCAATAACTTCATCAATACTCCATTTCACCATTTTCTTATCACCTCAGTCTTCTAATTTTGATTAAAAAGTAAAAATGTGATGCCAACCATTTTCCATTCTTAAATCCTGATCAACGTAAAACACACATTTCGACCATAAATCTGCTTTTAATCTTCTGAACAATTCATATGTGGATGGGCATATTATCCACTACTGTCAAACAAGTTAGCTTTTGGGCTCCTCAATGCCTGATTCTTTTGTGAAATGATCACAAACAAAGAATAACAAAAAGAATGAAATCTTATGACTGAGAGTTGTATGTTGGACAAGTATGAGGCAGAAGGACATGGAATCAGTGAAGTAGGAAGGAGGAGAAGCATGCAGAAGCCAATGAGGCTTTCACTGCACTGTAGACAAGTGATTCCTGCATGCCTGGAACTTGCATGATGCACTTCTCCAGGCTAATGCTGCACTTGAGGTAAACAATCTTCTATTTGCCATGATGATCACAATGTCAGAGAAGAAGAAGAAGAAGGGAAAAAGAAATAGAGTTTCCTATACACTTCTGCTGTAATGCAGGGTGATGAGATGGTCAGTGATGGATGCCGATTCAGGAGGCAGCAGCACTGTTGCTTCTGTAGAACGCCATACTTGGTCTCTGACTTGGTGCAGTGTCATCGGAGGAGGAATTTGCTGGCCTCTACAGGAAAGCTGCACCTGATTCATGGGTGGATGTGTTAGATATCAATGGGTGATAAGGAAGTGTAAGCACAGGCGTTTTCATGCCAAGTCATAGACAGCATAGAGGAACCTATGTGCATGACCAACATGCAAATGCCATCTCCCCTCACTCGACCCACCTAACGTGACCCATGTCTATCTCATGTCCCTTTCCCTCCCCTTATCGTAGAAGCAAAACCAAGTCAACAAGAATCCATCCGCCACCACCACCATTGTGGCCATGGAAAAGCCAAGCCTACCAATAGACTAGAGGCATGATGGGAGCAGCGATAGGTGCCTTGTTTTCAGGCCCTCTCAGGGATGATGGTGCATGGCCAAGCTTTTGGCATGGCTGTCACAAAGCATGATGGCTCAGGAGTCGTACCAACATGGAAAGTTGTGGCCCTCCCATCTCTTGCCATTGTTGTTTGATGCTTTCCCTTTCACCTACCTCATCAGGCTGTGATCAAAAGAATCTACCGGACGCATGCATGGCCTTCCTCCATTGCCCCGTGTTGTTGTGATCCCACCACTCCTAAATACTCTCACTTTTATTGCCACCCAAAGTGTTCATAATTTTATGTCCACAGAGATATCTGTGCCCAGAGTTGGTGATTTTGGTACAGTTTTAACTCAACCAATCAATAGATTTTAAGCATTATTCTGACTATATCTTTTCTCATGTGTTGTTTGGAAGCATAGACACAGGTGAGAAGGTGCATCAGCTATTGTTATTTCCATTGACATCCTACTAGGGTTGACCATGGAATCAAATTAGATGTTATTTCCATGCTATTCCCTTAACCAGCACCTGCACTCAACTCAATTCTTTATGCCAATGAGGAATGCAGTTGATGTGATATGTCAGGAAGCATGTCGAATTGTAGATCTACAGTTGACCTTGGAAATTATCTACAGCCACATGGTGAGCACATCTCATAGGCTAAGGGAATGACGCTCATGTCGTAAGATTCCTTAGTCACCTCATGGTACAACAAAGAAACTAAGAAATGGGTGTTGCGTGAAGGTACGTAATATGTGGCAAATCATTAGGTCATCCAAAGCATCTCCTCGAACTTGAAGCTGGTTCCTATAGTTCAGTAAGTTATCATTCATAACGAGAGTGTGGAGGTGTTCTTGGTCATTACAAAATAATAAGGAGTAATCACTCTAGAGGTTGATGGTATAGAGTAGATGAGCTGAAGAACAGAAATTTTGTTGGTGTAGAAGAATGACAATTTAACAAAGAAAAGAATCGAGGAAAAAAGGAAAAGGACTTTACAGCTGAAAGCTCAGTACTGTAGAACTGTAGAGAGATGGCAAGTTATAACTTCTACATTAATTGTTGACAGGGAGCTATCTGGTATTAATGGGAAAAAGCCATGAAGAACTGCAACATGAGATATTGGTACTAAGATAGAAAGCATTTCAATACCTAAAAACAACTTTCTTTTGCATAAGATAATGTAAAAACTACAACATCGCTATGTTCTTCTAGTCATCATCTTGTAATGTGATCTTATGGTCCTCTTCTCGTGAATGTAACCACTCAATCTCATAATCAAAAAGCTTATGGCATAATGCTATGGCACTCAAAACATTTTCCTATAGTTATATATATATATATATATATATAGATATGATGACAATCCATTCGACTAAGTTAGTGTTAAACAATGATCTGGGAGCCTAGTTAGCTGTGTAGTCCATCTAGTGATGTAACTTCAGATATAGAGCCTGTGGTATGTACATTTTAGCTCTGTGATTCGTGTCATGATTCCAGCACCAAATGATGAAGACACCACACTCATGTTGATTAACACAGCCGCAGAGGTGGATGTGTATGATAGTTTGTGGTTCTTCCATGAGCTAGTGCAGGCATGCATCGCATGTCCAAAATATGATCACAGAATACCCAAAGCAAGTAGCAATCATTTAGACATTGATAAGCTAAAACACATAAAGCATGCGGAGGGTGTCTTTTGAGTACCTCAGATCCATCCTCCAAACCCAGCTTATTGGCCAAGTACTTCAACAGTATCCTCGCAGTCATCGTCCCATCCCTACCAGATCAACTACTTTCAATTCAAGACCATATGAAAGGAGAAAGAGAGAGAGAGAGAGAGAGAGAGAGAGAGAGAGAGAGAGAAACAGATAAGCAAAGATGTAAGCATCAGTACTTTATCCTCAAGTAGCTCTTGGGTATCTGCGGCAGCAATGGTTCCTTTGTTCTGCGTTAACAGCACGAGAAGTGCAACCATGATCAAAGTTCTCATAAAATAAAAAGATATGGTCAGATGAAGTAGATGATGTCTAGTTCTGATCATGCAATCAAAGTACTCTAACTCACTGATTCTGCGCCGCTTTGAGAAGCAGCCACATCCCCGCCTGCGGCCTCGGTGGCGGGCTGACCACCCTGATGTGGCTGCCGATTGCTAGAGATGGTCTCAAGAATTCCGATGGTTCCATACCCCAGCGTGACGGCATTGGCGGTGGAGCCATGGTCGCACCACTTGCGGTTGGACGTGGACTCCAAAACCACCATGGGTGGTGGCCAAGACTTGCCGTCAACGTCGGGCGCGACGGTGCCAACCTCGTCAAGCCAGGAGGAGGTTGCGGTTGCGGCCGCTCGCCCGTTCCACTGCTAGTGCCAGCAGCCGGATCTCCTGGAGCGACGCCGGCCCGGGAAGCACCGGTGCCAAGCTGAAGCCATCCTTGGTAGCTCCCGGCAGCTTCTCCAGATGCAGCCCTCTCCTGTTCATTGCTGCCAGTGTTTGAAGAGGCCTTTTCGGCCATTAGGTCGGATCTTTCGCAGAGCTGAAGTCCTGTTTGATCGAAGAAGCTCCCATAGCTATCGCAGTGTCTCCGGAAGAGGTTCCGAGCCGGGGCCATCATGTCATAGTGATCCACGGTGCTTCATCAACCCTTTGATCCTTCATGTATGTGCCGAAGGTGCCGACAACCCAAGTTTACTCACCAAGGAAATAGTATTGTAGAAGATTTGTAGGTCATGCAGGTGGAGCTGTTAATTAGCAGCGTTGGATGCTCTAAGGAGAAGAAGAAAGAAGCAGTCATGGGGAGAAGAGATTTAAGAGGGAGGTATAGACCACCACCTACTGCTTTTTTCCCTCCCCTTGGGACCTAGAAGAAGATTGAGGACTTGAAGACCTCACTTTCCTTTCAAGTCCATCAGTTTGTTTACAGTAGAGAGAGAGAGAGAGAGAGATGTTCAAATGGTTTGATATAGGAATCTGAAAATAAGAGAAGTGTGAGTGCACATAAAAATACAGTTCACAATATTCATATGAGAAGTCCACTTTAGATGGCACAAACATAAAACACAATATTATTTTGTAGAGAATAGAAAGAAAAAGTATTAGTTATTATTTATATATGTGATAATATTATTAGAGGTTGAGAGAGAAGTATGCTTGCTGTGGGGTTTTAATATGGAACCCACTGTTGAGTAAAAATCAACTTTGGTAGTTGGGATGTTTAGATGGCAATTGTTTGATTTAATTCACAACTAACAAATTATTAGCTTAAATGATCAGCTTCTTTCATTCCTAACAAAAGAGATCTCTTCCTTGCAAAGAAATCATGCATCATATTTTGGCCAATTAGTAAACCTAAAACATATAAATTAGAATGTTGCAGTGAGCTAAGGAATCCTAATTCTTCTGTAACATGGATTAATATTACATGTTGCATATGCAATAATGTTATGTTAGAATTAAAACCTGCAACATGTAATAATACTTTAATAGAATAAAAATAAAAATATTGTGCAAAAATATTGGATGATTCTCAATAGTTTTCCTTATTAATGTTTATAAAATATGCCTAAATTCATAAAGGATTTTTATACTTCTAATTAATGTTCATAAAGGACTCAATCTTTCTCTTCTCATGCTGCAATGCACTTTATAAGTCCTAAAATAATCCAAAAGGTTCATAACTTATCTTCATCACATTTATATTAATAATTAAGGATTAATTTAAAATTATCTATGTAATTAACTATCTTTAGTATTTTGATTCCTATATTTTTAAATACTATATTAGAATTTCTATACTTATGAAAGTGAAATATTAAGATAATTTTATATGATTAAAAATAAAAAAAATTAAAATAACAAGATCAAATATTTTATCTCAATCTAATATTACTTATTGGCATTAAATCAACATCTAAAGTGAGCAAATATAGTTAGCATTTCTAATGCGTAATTAACGTTTGAAATATACAGTGTAGTGGTATGGCATATACTTTTTCCATCAATTATTTCAGTTGTTTAGGTGGACCAACTCACACTCGGAAACTTTTCAAGGTGACGTGGCCTCTCCAGAACCTAATACGGGAGACACGTCTGCATGGGTCCCACACATAGATTCTGTGAGAATTAAGCCACAGAACCTCTTATCCAGTAGATATGCATTGATAAATCTTATATGGTGCTGATAATGCCGTCATTGTCTTAGGATAACGTTTTGTCTCGTAATTTGCTCTCACAAACCTAACTGGTGGAGTCGATGAATTAGAAAGATCAGTTTTCCTGTTTCAATTAAGCATGATTGAAGACGTTCCAAAGAGTTGAAAATTTTATTGTTTGAATATATTTGTATGTTTATTAAACACATACAAAGCGTTCATATATTGATAGAGACTATGGATTATGACATCTTTAATATACGAGATATTATTTGTTGAATGAATAAATAAGTCAAATTCTTTATACACTTATGCAATCTTAATCAAATAAAGAAAGAGTGAATTTTTTTGAGAATTTTTCGAATTCTTTTGAGATTTTTTTTGAGAATAAATAAGTCAAATTCTTTTGAGAATTTTTGAATAAATTCTTTTGAGATTTTTTTCGTATAGAGTGAATAAATAAGTCAAATTCTTTTGAGAATTTTTCGTATAGCGTCTCAAATTTAAAAAATTCCCACGGAATATCCCTAACTATATGAAAAGAATATTTTACCTTTGTGTACGTTGGATTCACGGTCGCCCCCTATCTTATATTGTCATCTCCTCTTCCTTGTACAATCTTCATCATCTTCTTTGTACCCTCATCGAATCCTAAGGATATTGTGGGTACCCACACCAGTCTTAGAAGGCTCCATCGTTTGCCACGAGTGTGGGCAGGTCTACGTTCATAAGTGACCAAATGCATTATGGGTGATGGGCACCTATTTGGGGTGGAGAGGAGGTGGTCGACACAGTACCTTTTCGAGATGAAGGGGGATGATCAACAGCTCATGCACGAAGGTATAGGTATAATCAGCCCGTGCATAGAGGTGGCTATTGCATCCTGTGAAAGTGAGGGGTGGGGGTGAGATCTTTGCGGTTGGTCATCTCTGCATGCAATCACGCCTATGTTATGGGCGATAAGCAACTATTCGAGGTCGATGGGACGAACGACGATAATCTAGAATAGTTATTTTAAAAAAATAGAGAATACCATACAAAAAATTTTAAGTTGGAGTGAAAAATTATGAAAGTTAAGGATTATTTCAAAAATTTCCTCATAAAAAATATTTTATATTATTAAAATTATTAATTTTTCTTGACTTGATGTATATGCTTCAAGAATATAATTCTTTATTTTGTAGAAATGTTCTGATAATGCATTCAACAATTATACATGGCTAAAGAGAAAATTTCTATATATATTTTTATTAATAGTAGATCTACTTAGTCATATAAATTAATCTAATTATTCTTTCATTTTTCAACTAGCAAAATTAAATTAGAATGTTAAATCATTAACTATTAATCAAAGTACGATTTAAAAAAATATATATTCATTGCCTAATTTCTATCATATTAGAAATATAATAACATTCTGTTTTAAAATTATATATTTAATTTAAATTAACTATTAGTAATCATTATATAGACATTTAAAAAAAGCACCCCAAAAAAGAAAAGAAAACTCTCCATCATTTCTCCCCCTTTTGCTCTCTTTTCTCTGCTCGGCGTCAAAAGCCCACAGTCTCCTCCTGGCTCGCAATCGTAGTCCTCGAAGCAGCGCCTGGAGTAGAATGGGCGGATCTACAGGGGCTGTCGCCTCCCTCGACGTGCTACTCTTGCCTCGCTCGGTCGCATTAGGTTCGGCGGGCCGTATTACCTGTGGATCTCTATGGTTCGAGGGTTTTGTTCTCGTTTCCTTTTGATTAATATCTTTTCTCAGTTTCGTGTTTGTATGCGCGCGAATTCCTCGATGTTCTAATTGTTTGTCTTCTAAAAGAGGAATTTTTTGAAAAAGTATAGTCATGAATGGTGGTGAATGCTGTCTCTTTTTGAGATTTACCAGTTCTGGAATGTGGTTTCGATTCTCTGGATGGTATTTACTTTCAACTCCTTTTGGTGCACGATCATTTGTTCCAGAAATCATAACTTGATTAGTTTGTGAAAAGAGTTGTCATTATTCAGATTTCTTTTTCGTTAGTGGTGTTCTTTCTACATGTTACTGTTTTAGTAGAGATAAAAGTTGGAAACTTCCTATCTGTGTCATTCTAGTTGATATGTGATACTTAAAGAGTATAACTTGATTACTTGCTAGGTTGGTCTTAGATTTTTCTCAAAGGGAAGACTTCCAGTAGCAAATTTCTAAGGTGCTCCTATGGCAGAACAGAGTTGAATTCTGCAGGCTACTAATCAGTAATCTACTTCACGTCATTATGAACTTGAAGTACAATTTTGTCTTACAATTTGCATATTTAAATATGTAAATTATTTTTCTGTACAGAAAGTGATAGGATGGAGATTTTGGAGTTGTTCCTAAAACGAAAGCTATTGATATGATAGGTCAGAACGAGGTTAAAGTGAGCCAAACTTAGTCATTTATTTCAACTTTTGATTAAAGATTTTGAGATATGATTTGTTTCCATCCTTTTTTTTGTTTTTCTTTGAGAAGATCTTGGGATATGATTTACAATAATATGACCCTGTCCACTTTTATGGATCTGGTACTCAAAATAGTTATTTGAACTTTTGGTCCTTATGATTTTTACTAGATAATTTTACTGAAGGTTTAGGTTGTAATCCATCTTTAAAGTAATTTAAGTTTTTTTTTTCTGAAAAAGAAATTAAGAGTGCAAGTTAAAGAAACAAAATCTAGGAAGTCCGGAACCTTTCAACACATAATGACCAACTATTAACGGGCATATATATATATATATATAGAGAGAGAGAGAGAGAGAGAGAGATAAGAATGCAT